GGCTGTGCTGCTTCCTTCTCTGGTGTGTTTCCAGCTGTGTCCCTCAGGGCACCTCCTGCTCTGCTCAAAGGCACAAAGATGTGGGCAGAGCCCGCAGCTGCTTTGCTGCCCATGTCAGGAGAGAGCTCTGAGGAACGAGTCCTCTCCTCCTCAGCTGTCCCCAAGAGTGTGCAGCTGACTTGTCCCTCACCTCCTTAGCAAAGCTGTGGCGCCAGGGCACCTCAGGGTGCCCAGAGATCCTGCCTGGAGATCTCCATGTCTGGAGATACCCAAAGCCCAACAATACATGATTCTGGACAACCTGCTCTAGCTGATCCTGCTGCAGCCTGGAGTCTGGACTAGAAGGTCCTGAGAAGTCCCTCCAAAACACAACAATTCAGTGATTCTGTGATCCTGGCACATGCTTTTGTTTGCTTGCTTTTGAAACTGCACCTTGAGAGCGGCAGCTGTTGTATCAGACAGGCAGGCTTTGGCATCAGATCCATAGAGAGCTTGGAGCAGCCAAAGCTGAATTCCTGTGCTGCACTCCTTGGACACCTTCATGCTCTGCTCTGCTTCTGAAGCTTTTCTGCAGCTTGATGGGAAACTGATTTGGGGAAATGTATTCAATGGTTGTCAAAGATCAATGTGTGCCCCATCATGGATTTTGCAAGAGCTTACAATAAAAGGGATTTGCAGCAGTGCTGGATTGCAGTGTCATGTCTTCTATAAACCACAGGTTGCTTCCCACTGACATTTCTACATCCAGCAGTAGAGTGCCCAGAGCATCCTTGCAGGGCATTTGGTGTGCAAATGCAATCAGAGGATGCCAGAACACCCAGCCAAGTGTCAGCATCAGACACCAGTTATTCTCCTGTGAATGGCATGAACAAAGTGGGCCAGCCTGCCAACAGCTCATAGATATTCCCACGTATCCAGGAAAAGATTTCCAACATTGATGTATTCACTCTTGACCCTTTGGTGGTAGGGGACTTTGCACTGAACAGTTCAATGGGTTCTGTGAGTTCAGGATTATGTGGCATTGCCCCACTTTTGCCCTGGGAGTGGTTTTACACTGGGTCATGCAGCACTGTGGAGTTGGGGGACACTTTGGGGGTCTTTGATGATTTATGGCCCCTTCTAATGATGTGACCACTGTTGGGCGCTGCTTGGTTCTGTCAGTTGGGCCTCACCAGAAAGGAGGGATTTGGCCCACCTCCAGCAGATCTGCCTCTTCTTGGCCTTCTCCCTCACTCTGACTAAACCTAAATTTGTTTAAGACATCAGTCTCAGGTTAACAGAGACAAAAGAAACCACAGGATTCAACCAGTTTCTTTAAACCAACTTTGGTCACACACATTTCTTCTGGATATTTCTGGTTGTAACAACCAACTCATCCTTCTATTATTCCTGGACTTTTGGAAACAGAAGAAAATGAGTCCAGTTTAGCTGTAAATGAATGAATGGTCATTGAAACACCTTAATGACCAGCTAAATCCATGCCCTCCCATAGGCAGGGACACCTTCCACTATCCCAGGTTGCTCCAAGCCCCAGCCAGCCTGGCCATGGACACTTGCAGGCATGGGGCAGGCTCAGCTTCTGTGGGCAACCTGTGCTGGGGCATCATCTCCCCACAGTCACAAATACTGTCCTAATATCCAGTCTAAACCTTCACTCCTTCCATTCCAAGCCCTTTCAGCTTGTCCCAAAGGTGTGGTTTAACCCCAGGCAGCAGCCACGCCCCACGCAGCCGCTCCCTCCCTCCCCGACCACCGGGAACAGGGAGAGAACTGGAAGGGGAAAAGCTGGAACAATCCTGGGTGGAGATAGAGACAGTTTAACAGGGAAAGCAAAGGCTGTGCACACAAGCAAAGCACATCAAGGAATTCCTTCACCATTTCCCATGGATAGAAGGGTCTTCAGCCACCTCCAGGAGAGCAGGGCCCCATCCCACCTACCAGCTACCTGGGAAAACCCAGCTACAAAACCCACCACTCCAAATGCCCCCTCCTTCCTCCTCCTTTCCCTCACTTTATATTCTCAGCATGATGTCCCATGCTCTGGAATATGCTCTGGTCAGTTGGGCTCACCTGTCCTGGCTGTGTCTCCTCCCAAGCTCCCAAGTACCCCCAGCCACCTTGCCAGCCTGGCAATCCAAAAAGCACAAAAGGCCTTGGCCTGTGGAAGCTCTGCCCAGCAATACCAGAAACATCTCTGTGTTATCAACTCTGTGTTCAGCACAACTCCAAAACACAGCCCCACTCCTGCCACTGTCAAAAACATTAACCCTGAACCCAGCCCACCTATCAGCTCCAAACCCTTGTGCAAAGTCCGTATGCAGCTCTCCTGTAGACTCCTAAAGTACTGGCAGGTGCTCTGAGGTATCCCCAGAGCCTTCTCCTTCCCAGGCTGCTGGGATGGAGCTGTCACACAGCCATGGCAACCAGGCAAGAGAGTATGTGTAGCCTGGCCATGGGCATGATGTTCTGGGAGGCTGCAGGAGGACAGAGTGTGAATATCTGAGTGTATCAGAGTCAGGCCAGTCCATCCAATGTCCCCAGAGCTGTTCTGTGGGGAGCAGAAACACGTGTAGGTGCTGGAGCAGCAGCAGCTGCAGCTGGTGGCATTGAGGAAATGATCAAGGAAGCCACCAGACCCTGTTAGCTGATCCTGACACATCATGCTGCAAGGCAGCAAATTTGGGAGGAAGTCTGGGGAAACTAAAACAATGTCAAGCACTTTCAGGGGGAGTATGAACAAACTCTGTAAATAAAAATGGAAAACTTCTCCTTTTTGTGGAATTCCCTATTTAAAACCAGGAGCAAATTTATGCCTGGTTATACATTCAGTGGCTCTCCTGAGGATTCCAACTCTCCTTTCTCCAGGGAGAAGACAGAAGGAATGGTTCAGCTGCCTCTTCTGGGACCCTGCTTCAAGGTAAGGGCTTGCCCCTTCCTCAACAATGCCTCCAATATTCAAAGTCTTTCCTGAGTTTTGGAATAAATATACATAGGCAAATGCTAGCCTGGAATTGCTGAGCTCCAAGGGCAGTCAGAGCTTATGCATGTACTGAATTCAGGAGGGCAAGGACAGAGGAAATGATTTGGGAAAGAAAATCAATCCAGCTCACCTGAAAATTAACAACTTTTGAATTAATCTGAAAATTATTCTGAAAACTAACAAACGGTTGAATAAGAATATTGGGGGAGACTATTCAGTACGGAAACTCCACCCATGACCTTGCAAAGAAACTCTGGACAAACAGAGGTGTGGTCTGAATTCCCTGGAAAACTTACTCAAAAGGCTTCTTGGGAAATCTACCTGCCTCTTCCTGGAGAGCATATAAACCCAGAGAGTCTGAGACTGCAGCAGAGGCATTTGAGACTCCTCTGCCACTTTGGGGCTGCGAGCAGAATCCTGTGCCACTCCTTCTCACGGTAGGCTGTTTTCTATGAATCTGTTATATTAGATATTACCTTAGATTTATTTCAATCTTATGGAGTGGGTCATGCAGAAGGACTTTTCAGACCCTTCTCTGCTTGATTTGAGGCAGCTTTGGGAATGCTCTGCAGAGCACTGTAAAATTCCTGACTTGTAGTTGCAGTTCTCAGTTTCCAGCTCATTGGTCACCACGTTCCTGATCCAGGGCTGGAAAAGAGAAAAAGGACCAGATATCTTGGGTCAGAGCAGGGCTGTGTGCAGCCCAGCATCCTGAATCCAGTGGAAATGGAGAGATGAGGGGCAGGGAGAAGACCAAGACAAGGGCAAAGGTGCAAGGTGACTTGTGAAGCCTTCATCTGTCCTGAGCCCAGCCCCTTGCCAGCCCAAGGTGGGCTTTGTGCTTTAGAGGCTGTGGCAGCTTTGTCTGCCAGGAACCCTTTGAACTGCCTGTCCCAGCTGCCTTATTGCAAATGCTGGTGATATTAAATCTCCCCAATGAGTGTCTGGCAATGCAAGGGGAAGCATCCCTGCTCTCCCAAACCTCAGCTGCCTCTGGAAGGAGACAAAGCCACCCCTTGCTTGCTTGCCATCATCCCAGGGAGCTTGTCAGCAGTTTTCTCATAAAGGAATGACCTTACTGACTGCTGAAAATCACATCAGCACTGAGAAAGACAAAACAGGACAGGTTGCTGTCCAAGAAATTCCTGCCGTGCTGGCTTTGCCTGTACAGGGAAATCAATCAGCAAAGCTGAAGCTGGGCACCAGCAGGAATCCCAAGCAAGCAGGGCAAGAGCTGCCCCTCAGGGCTTGCACTGCAGCAGCCATTGTGCTGCTAAGATAGAGGTGTTATCCCTCATGCTTGCTGCTGCCATCTGCTTGGCCCCTTCCTTTGCTCTCTGCATGTGTCTGCAAGTTCAGAGTCTGGGCTTGGATAAGGTGGAAATGCAAGGTGAGCAGCAGGACAGCCATGGCCCAATGTCAGCTGAGAGGCAGGAGCCCAGGTGGATGATTTGGGGTTCAGTATTGGGTCTGAGTGGAAGAGCTGAGTGTCTGTGTGAACCTGGATGGGGCCAGAGAGCTGTAGGAAGTGCAGCACTGCTGTTCTTTGCCTGCCCAATGCCCCATGAGATTAAAGCCCAGCTCAGCAATGCAGGGGGCTGAGCAGAGTCCGTGCCCAGGTGCAGGTGTCTGCTGGGGGAAGGAGCTGAGAGCAGGAGGGAGGTGGGCAAAGGTGACCTTGTCCCAGGGCTGTGCCTCAGTTACAAGATCACTTGGCTGTGAGAGCTGATTGCAGTCCTGGTGGCTTTGGTTCCTTCCTCCTACAGGCTGAGTGCTCCCACTGCTGCCTCCTCTGGGCACCTAAACCCTGTTTTAGCTTTCACCCTTATTGCCCTTGTGGTTTTTCCATATGCAGGAGGACAGAAATTACTCCTTTCCTGGTCTCTCACAATCCTCTCCTCTGCCAGCTGTGTCCCCCTGCACCAAAGGCTGCAGGCCATGACCTGCTCTCTCCCAGCTGAGTGTCCCTCTGCATTTGCCTTCCAGGGGAGCAAGAGCCCTTCACTGAAATCCTGCCACCATGCTGGGGCTGCTGCTGCTGCTGCAGGTGTTGGCCAGCTGCCTGTGGCTGGGACGCAGCGAGGTGGTCAAGTCCTTTGTGAGTTGTCCTCAGTTTCTCTACTCAGGCCTTCCCCCAAATGATGCCCTGAACCCAAGGAACCCAGCCTGGATCTGCCAGCGTTTGAGCAACTCGTATCACTATGCCACCCTGTACGACAGAGACAGGAGAATTCCAGTGTACTCTGCTTACAAATACAGGCCTGGAGCTGGCAAGAGACCAGATGTGGCATGGCTTCTTGAGCCCCAGGTGAGTGTCTTCCTCACAGCACATGACCTGTTTGCATTAAAAGCAATATTAAAAGAACCATTTTCGTTTTGTCCCAGCCCACTACCTACATGCATGTGGATACATTCGATAGAACTCTCCTCATTTTACTTCAAACCCATGCACCACATGGTTCCTCTGATGCACCTGAGACATCAGCAGGAGCATGAGATGAATCACATCCCAAAGGTGCCCAGCTCTCTGCCTTCACCTGACAGGAACAGCAAATCCCATTACTTGGCATGACATGACAAAGTCAAATGCTTCCCCTGCCTGTGCCCTGCTGTGCTGGGTGCCCAAGTGATGGGGAAAAGGCTTCCAGGAGAGGCTAAACTTGAGGGACCAACAGTCCTGCTGGGATCTGATCCCCACTTTGCCCTCAGCAGTTCTGCATCCCTGGCAGAACCCTAACCCTATCTGCTCCCAGTGAAGAGTTAAACAGGCTTTGTGATTGGTATTTGAGAAGAAATATGAGAAACTCAGAAGGGGGTAAGATGGCCCAGAGACAAAGCCTGGAGGGAAAAGGCACTGGAGATGAGAGGGCCAGGTTAACTTTGCAGGGATTTCTGGAGTGACATTTCTGGCACTGCAAAGTGAGGAGCATCAGTGTTGGTCCAGTCACAAGGGTGTGATCTCCATCCATGGGCAGTGACCCCGAGCACCTTTGGCTCAGGCTTGGTCCAGAAGGATCCAGCAGACAGGCAGAACTGCACAAGCTCTAGAGCCCTCACAAATGTCCTTCAGACAAACTTCAGCAGAACAGGCCAGGCCAATTGCAGAAGAGAAAAAGAAGCAATTCCTGTCATTGGTAAGGACAGAGTGGCAGGACAGCATTAGAGGAAGGTGAGCCAGAGAAGGAAGCCACATGCCCTAGTCCAAAGGAAGGCTAAATATGTTTCTCTAAAGATGAACCAAATGTTGTTAAAGTTATGAAAAGAATCATCTTTTCATCTTATGCATAGGAACTCAAGCAGCTAATCTGGTGTTGCACCACTGCAGCCTCCACATTCTCTCTTTCTGGAGCATCATAGAATGGTTTGTGTTGGAAGGAACCTTAAAGACCATCTCAGTCCAGCTCCCCTGCATGGGCCAGGCCACTTGCCATTAGACCTGCATGCTCCAAGGCCTATCCAACCTGCCATTTTCCTCCTGGACCTTGGACCCTGGCCTTCCAAAAAAACAGATTTTCTCCTGAGCCCTTTTTGGAGAATTTCCTTTCCCCAGGACTCTTTTGGGATTACAGGCTCCTCTCAGAGGCTGATCATTTGTAACTTCTTTGCAGTGATGCTGCAGAAAATTCTCCCTGGCCCAGATCAGCTCTGAGACACATTCCCAGCACTGCTGGAACAGATTCCATTCACAGTGAGATCTTTTTGCTTACTGAGCAAAACTGTTCCTCCTTGAATGAACTGTAGCCCTCCCAGGGAAACCTCAGCTCCAGGACTGATTTCCTGACACATCTCCCTGTGTATGGGGTTACAGGAGGCAAGCTCTGGTGTTCCAGGACTGGGGTACACCTGTAGCAACCCCACATAAAATCACAGAATCACAGTGTGGTGTGAGGGCATCCAGGGAGAGCCCAGGGCAGATTTGGGCTCTGGAGGCAGGAGGAAAGGGAAGCAGATTTGGCAGGGGAGGTGAATCACCAAAGTCACCTTTCAATCCTAGGAGTGGGGAATGCTCCTTGTCTCGTGCCTCCAACCATGCTCCCAGCACGGGCTGCAGGCTGGATCACAAAGGTCACAAGTCAAACTCAGAGCAGTCCGAATCTGACCTACTTCCTCTTTAAAGCTTTTGTGTTCATGTGGGTTGGTCCATGTGTATGATTTCTCTCAGATTCATACAATTTATCCACTGAGGTGACAAAAAATGGGATCTTGACTTTCAGAGACTTCTCCTCTAGGGAAATCTTCTCCATTACTCCCAGTCCCCGTTCTAACACCATTTTTTCTTTTCCTGTCCAGCTTATAGGTGAAAATGATCTTAAAGAGATGACAAGTGAGATGACCCTCATGTACAATCACAAATTCACCTTAGACCAAATCAAAGACAGCCAGGCTATTCCTGGTGACTACACACAACTGAAGGGTTTGGACCGTGGCCATTTGTGCCCCAGTGGCCATTTGGAGACTATATTGAGCATGGCAGCCACCTTCACCCAGACCAACATAGTGCCCCAGGACAGGATTCTCAACAATGGCAAGTGGAACACCTACGAGTCTGATACCATGCCTGAAATGACCAAGGGCTGTAAAAACACCTTTGTAGTCACGGGTGCTGTGCCTGGGAACACCTACGTGTCCAACGGGAGGGTGAACAAACCCAGCCACATCTGGTCAGCTGCCTGCTGCGTGGTGGACAAAAACCCCACAAAGGCTTGGGGGATCATTGCTGAGAACGACAAGAATGAGGTGCAGAACATGACACTGGGGGAGCTGGAGGAGAGGTTGACTGAGCTCTACAATGCAACAGTTACCCTATTTGGCACTGCCTGTCCCAGGCAATAAGCCTCACATTCTCATTGGAAAAGGTTCGGTGGCTTTTCCCACAAGTCACAGAATCACAGAATCACAGAGTGGGTTGGTTTTGATGGGACACTAAAGCCTTAAAGATCATCTCATTCTCACCTGTCTGCCATGGGCAGGGACACCTTCCACTACACCACCTTGTTCCAAGCCCTCCCCAGCCTGGCCTTGAAGCCTTCCAGGGATGGGGCAGTCAAAACAACTCTGGGTAACTTTTACTCATAGCACAGCCTGCTCAGGGTGATTCACTTCTTTATAATATCCCATCTAACCCTGCCCTCCATCAGTGTGAAACCATTCCCTCCTGTCCTGTCCCTCCATACCCTTGTCCAAAGACCCTCTCCAGCCCTCCTGGAGATCCTTGAGGTACTGGACCCTCAGCAGTCTTGTCCAGGCTGAACATGCCCAGCTCTCTCAGCCTCTCTCCAGAGCAGACCTGCTCCAGCCCTTGGAGCACCTTCATGGCCTCCACTGGACTCCACTCCACCAGCTTTGTATCCTTCTTGTGCTGTGGGCCCAGAGCTGGAGGCAGCAGTGCAGGTGGGGCTTGAGCAGAGCAGAGGAGAGGGGGACAAATGTCCTGAGCAGAGGCTGTGCTGCTTCCTTCTCTGGTGTGTTTCCAGCTGTGTCCCTCAGGGCACCTCCTGCTCTGCTCAAAGGCACAAAGATGTGGGCAGAGCCTGCAGCTGCTTTGCTTTGCTGCCCATGTCAGGAGAGAGCTCTGAGGAACGAGTCCTCTCCTCCTCAGCTGTCCCCAAGAGTGTGCAGCTGACTTGTTCCTCACCTCCTTAGCAAAGCTGTGGCACCAGGGCGCCTCAGGGTGCCCAGAGATCCTGCCTGGAGATCTCCATGTCTGGAGATACCCAAAGCCCAACAATACATGATTCTGGACAACCTGCTCTAGCTGATCCTGCTGCAGCCTGGAGTCTGGACTAGAAGGTCCTGAGAAGTCCCTCCAAACCACAACAATTCAGTGATTCTGTGATCCTGGCACATGCTTTTGTTTGCTTGCTTTTGGAACTGCACCTTGAGAGCAGCAGCTGTTGTATCAGACAGGCAGGCTTTGGCATCAGATCCATAGAGAGCTTGGAGCAGCCAAAGCTGAATTCCTGTACTGCACCCCTTGGACACCTTCATGCTCTGCTCTGCCTCTGAAGCTTTTCTGCAGCTTGATGGGAAACTGATTTGGGGAAATGTATTCAATGGTTGTCAAAGATCAATGTGTGCCCCATCATGGATTTTGCAAGAGCTTACAATAAAAGGGATTTGCAGCAGTGCTGGATTGCAGTGTCATGTCTTCTATAAACCACAGGTTGCTTCCCACTGACATTTCTACATCCAGCAGTAAAGTCAGGGTTCCCAGAGCATCCTTGCAGGACATTGGGTGTGCAAATGCAATCAGAGGATGCCGGAAGACCCAGCCAAGTGTCAGCAGCAGACACCAGTTATTCTCCTGTGAATGGCATGAACAAAGTGGGCCAGGCTGCCAACAGCTCATGCAAGCTGTGTCACTTTCAGAGGTGCCAGCTTGGGGCTGGACATCTCAGCTCAGGAGCTGTTGTTCATTGTCCTGCTGGGTCTCACTGCTCAGCCAGGACCGACCTGTTTGGGGGCTGCAGTCAGACACAGGTTGTGGTGGGTGTGCAGAGTGAGGCAGCCCCATGCAGGTGTCTCCAGGTGTGCTGGTGTCCCAGCTGTGACGGCAGCCAGCAGAGCTCCAGGCCTGCCTCAGCTGCATAAAGAGCTGCAGCCTGGGCCCCTGCAGCTGCCCTGAGCTTTGGAGAGCCCCACTGGGGCTGGCTGATGTGCTGCAGGATCCTGGGCAACAGGCACCCCCAGCTGGGCCAGCAGCCAGAGGCCAGGCCCATTCCCCAGGGGCAGCTCTGGGGGCTCTGCACAGCTGAGCACAGGCACCAGATGCCAGGGCAGACATGGGGCACGGCCTGGGAGCACCATGGAGTTCTGCTCCTCTTGCCTCCAGCTGCCATGGGCACAGCAGCAAGAGCCCTGCCTTGTGCCAGCGGGGCTGCACACACCCCTAGGAGAAGATCTTGCTTTTAGGAGAGCAAAGTGAGCACATCACTCTCACTGCCTTTGCTGGAAAGCTCCTGCCATGCCAGCTCCTCTGCCTGGATGGATTTTTTCTGCTGGGATCAAATGCTGCCACAGCCCCTGCTGGGATGAAAGCATCAGAGTGATTTCAGGCTGAGGCCCCTGTGCAGACACCTCTGCTGTACCTCAGGCTATGGCTCCCTCTGACTTGCTCACCCACCTCTGCACACTGGCTGGGGCTTGGGACCACACTCATCCTCACCATTACTCGTGCCATGCCTCACTGCCCACACTTTCCAGGCTCTGGAACCAGTGGCTGCTTGACCAACTGTTGTGGTTTGACACTGGTCAAACATCAGGCACCCACATAAGCTGCTCACTCAGCCTCCCCAGTCACAACTGGAAAGATGAGAGAAAAAAATTAATAAAGTATTTATGAGTTAAGGACTGGGAGTACACACTGCCAAGGGCAAACTTGTTCAATTTAGAGAGAGAACTTGGTGTTTGTTACTAATGAAATCAGAGAACAATGAAAAGTAAAATAGCCCTTTTAAAAACACCTTTTCTTCCCCCAGTCTTTCCCTCTTCCCCACCAACAGCACAGGGAGACAGAGTGAGGGTGGCCTGGTCAGTTCATCACCCAAGGTTCTCTTCCTATGCTCAGGGAGAGGAGTCCCTCCCCTTCTGCACCGTGGGGTCCCTCCCACAGGAGACAGTTCTACTTGAACTTCTCCAGAGTGGCTCCACTCTCACTGGCAGCAGTCCAAGCAAAACTGCTGCAACAGGAGTCCCTCCCACAGGCACACATCCTCCCAAAACTGCCCTGGCCTGGGTCATCCTCCCATAGGGTGCATTTCTCCATGGACAGGCTGCTTCAGTGGGGGAGCAGGGGAGCCCTCTCTTCACCAGGTCTCCCAGTGGATCACAGCCTCCTCCAGGCATCCACCTGCCTCAGACTGGGCACATCCCCCATGGGCTGTGGGTGGATCTCTGAATCCCTCGTGGATTCCCATGGGCTGCAGGGGCACAGCTGCTTCAGCATGGCCTACAGAGGAATCTTGGCTCCAGCACCTGGAGCGCCTCCTCCCACTCCTTCTCCACTGACCTTGGTGTCTCCATGTTGTTTCCCTCACATGTTCTCACCTCCTCCTAATCTCTGGCTGAAATTCAAACGGCACGCTCCACTGCGTTTTCATTTTCTTCTTAAATATGTTATTGCACAGGTGTCACCAACATCCCTAAATGGCCCAGCTGTGGCCAGCAGCATGTCCACCTACAGAGCCACCACAGATTGGGCCTGCTGGACAATGGTGGAAGCAGCTTCTCACAGAAGCCACCAATGTGGTCCCCCCATTTGCAAAAACCCAGCTGTGCAAAAGCAACACGCCAAGCCCATCAGTGCCACCTCTGTCAACTTCCCAGGCCCTTCCCAGGACCTTCAGCCCTGGCAGTAATCAGAAATGCCCTGCCATCCCCAGCAAGCTTGGAAATACATGGGAAGCCCAAGAGAGAAAAGGATCAGCTTGGACTCTGCCTTCTTTCATTCATGAGGACTGTTGCTTTCCATCAGGTCTATCAGTGGTGGCCACTGGGGAGGTGCCAGCTGCCTGGAGTTTGGCCATTGTGACACCCATGCACAAGAAGGGCTGGAAGGAGAATCTGGGGAATTACAGGTGTGTCCTCCTGACCTGGCTTCCCAGAAGGGTTTTGAAACAGATTGTCCTGAGTGTGATCACAGGGCACATCCAGGAGAACCAAGGCATCAGTCCCAGCCAGCCAGCAGGGCTTTAGGAAAGGCAGGTCCTGCCTAGTGAACTGCTGGAAGCCTGGATGCTGAGAATTTTAAACTTTCTGTGTTGAAAGGCACAGACCCTCCAGGGAATGCTGCATTTGACCTGATGCCTTGGAAAAGGCTTCCAGAACTGATTGAGAGCCCTGAAATTGCAGGTGTGTAATTTGAATCGAAGTATGTAATATCAAAAGTTGAAAAACTTAGGGTTTAACATTTTTGAATGCAACAATATATATAAAGCAAGAGGGAGGTCTTAGGGTGCTGGCTAGTTGTTTGTCACTTTCTTCTTCACATGGCTTTGGGTAGTTTTATGTAATTTGTCAGAAAAGACTGCATTGTGGAATTTCAGTCATTAGCTATTCAGTTAAAAGCAAAAATAATTTGGGTATCATTTCTCATTTGGATAGTTTAGGCTTAAAAGACTTGGTGGAGAAAGACAGTGGGCCATTTTGTAGCTTGTTAGTTGAATGCCCCAGAACTCACAATTTGTAAGACTGTAACACAGGGAAGAATTAATAAACACTGAACAGCAAACTTGAGAAACAATCTCTCCTGCTCCTTTCACCCTGATCCTAACAATAAAGAAAAGAAAATAAGAACACAACAGCAAACCTGATCTCCTTTGATGACCAGATGACCGGCCCAGCGGATGAGGGGGGAGGCTGTGGAAGTGTCTGCCTGGACTTCACCAAAGCCTCTGGCACAGTGTCCCACAGCATTGTCCTGGAAAAGCTGCCAGCCCAGGCCTTGGAGAGGTGCTCTCCTGGCTGCCTCAGGAGCTGTCTGCATGTCCAGGCCCAGAGAGCCTTGGTGAACAGTGCCACATCCAGCTGGCGTCCGGCCACAAGCGCTGTCCCCAGGGACCCGTGTGGGGCCCGGTCCCGTTGAAGATCTTTCCTGACGATCTGGATGAGGGGATGCAGTGAACTCTCAGCAAGATCACGGATGATGCCAAGTTTGGTGGGAGACTCAGTTGCTGGAGGGCAGGAAGGCTCTGCAGAGGGATCTGGACAGGCTGGATCCACGGGCCGAGGCCACCTCTGCAGGCAGTGCAGAGCAAGGCCATGGAGCTGCTGAAGGCCCTGCAGGGAAAGGCCTGTGAGGAGCAGCTGAGGCAGCTGGGCTTCTTTAGCCCAGA